TGAGGACAGAGGAGCAAAGCAGAGGAGCAGGGAGCACCATGTAGGGATGTCAAGTTGACCACCACTATAAGAGACCAGATGTTCTATCCCATGGGATTGCTGAGAAGCATTATGAAATGTGTCTCAGGACCGTTGTGTGTGTGTGTGGGGGGTGTAGAAAAGGATCTTTTTACGGCTTCCACCCTCCCATTGGTTAGTGCCCACTAAGGATTGCTAACTCCCTGCATTTCCGGGTTGCTCACACACAGGCCCTTTCCTGGGTCCCCATATTCTAAGTTGTGAAAGCAGCAGAGAGGATCCAGGACAGAGGGTAAAAGGCACACAGTGCAGGCCTGAGACACAGCCCCAACAGGTCACACCTGTACCTGTACCTGAAGATGGTCAGGGATCATACAGAATGGGTCACTGCAACAATGAATGGAATATAAACGAAGTGTGACCGAGAGGATTTGAAGAGGTGCACATGGGCAACCAGTAGACATGCTCATTCCTAACAGGGTCACTGCCAAGGGGAATGAGACTGCTGTGGCTGGTTTAAATTAATCATTTGTGATGAATGGATGCTGAAGATTCCACCCAAATGCCTCCTCTAAGAAGTCATCCTTAACTCTCCTCCCTAAAGGATCTTGTCACCAAAGGAGCCCAGTCACTGAAGAACCCATCACTCCCAGCACCCCATTCATTCCCTTGGTGACACCTACCACAATGAGGAATCAGCCTGTGTAGCTGCCACTGTGGACACCCCCACCCCACCCCAGTGTGTGAAAGCTAGAATGATGCAAACCTGCCCTTGCTGCTTGGTCATAGTTTAAATTCCTCCAGTCAGGCAGAGTCATTTTGCTAGTGCAGATGGTGGAAGGGGAGGCATAATTTTGGAGCCATGTCTTTTTATAAACACTTAAATCCCTTCCTGATGAAGTTACCTGTACACGTCTGGATCTCAACCATGAAAAGGACATCTTGTTTACTTATTAGCTTGCTCATTATTATCTGCCTCACCCCACTTAAGTTGAAGCTCACTGATACCAGGCACTTGTTTGTTTTTCTTTACTGTATGGACAGTGCCTGGTACATAGCAGGGGCTCAAGAATGATTTATTGGGGATCCCTGGGTGGCGCAGCGGTTTGGCGCCTGCCTTTGGCCCAGTGCGCGATCCTGGAGACCCCGGATCAAACCCCACGTCAGGCTCCCGGTGCATGGAGCCTGCTTCTCCCTCTGCCTGTGTCTCTGCCTCTCTCTCTCTCTCTCACTATCATAAATAAATAAAAAATTAAAAAAAAACTTAAAAAGCTTTTAAAAAAAAGAATGATTTATTGGATGGATGAATAGATGGAGTGGGTGGGTGGATAGATAAATAGATGGAGGTGGAAAGAGCATGGCAGGTGGAAGAAGAGGAAATAGTGGGTCACGATGCTCATTTTCCCCACCCAGGGCCAAGTCCTCACAACTCTTCCATATTCACTTGCACTCCCTGGGTGAGCTCATCCAGGATCATCAGTCTAACATTATATCTCCAGGCATGACCCTTCCCTTGAACTTCCGACTCAGACCTGTCTACCATCCAACTTTTCCACTCGGATGTTAATAGGCATCTCCAATGTAACAGATGCAAAAGAGAACTCTTAATTTCTCCTCCAAATCTTCTCCTCCCACAGACATCCTTATCTCAGTAAGTGACAGCTGCATTCTTCTAGTTGTTTGGGCCCCAAAGCTGGGCAGCACCCTGATCCCTCTTTTGCTCACATGTCTCATCCAATCCTTCAGCAACCCCTCTGTGCTCTGTATAATGTATAGAAGCACACCATTTCTCCCCACCTTTTCCTTCCTGATCTGAGACACCATCCTCTTTCAATTGGATTATTGCAGTAGCCTTTTATTTTGGATGCTTTTTGATGTGGACCCCCATCACATTTCCCCCGCCACCTCTGACTTCAGCTCCAGCTGCAGCAGTTGTATGTGAGCTCAGCTGATCCTGTGCCTATAGTGTCTTGCCTCTTGTGCACACCTCGTACCTGCTTGCCTTCTGCCCTGGATCTCAATGCTGTTGGAGTCTTTTTGGTTCCAGCACAAGATTTACTTGCTTCTTGCCTCAAATGTGAGCTGCACATCCCTTTGCTCTCTGCACTGTCAACACTTAATGCTATAGGAGCCTGCTTTACCCATGAACCCAGAAATGCAAACTTAATAGCCCAGGAGCAATCTTCAATAAATAGGGGAAAGAGTAACCAGATAAACGTTCCTGCTTTCCATCCTTCAGATACATAATTCTGGATAACAGTCTGTGCACTTTTCAAGGATCCTGGTGAATTCAAGCTCCTGCTGCCCACAGCAGTGACATTAATAATGTATCCTTGGGTTGGCTTTTTCCCTTTTCTGTCTCATTGTCCCTACTCCCTCATGCCTGCCTCTTGGGTCATGTCTCAGAAAAGCTCATGTGCTCAGGCTCTGCTTTCAAGGGAACGCAAGCTAAAATAACTTTTCAATTGCTATCCAGCAGCATACTGATTTTTTTTAAAGATTTATTTGTTTGTTTTAGGGGCGCCTGGGTGGCTCAGTAGTTAAGCATCTGCCTTGGGCTCACATCATGATCTCAAGGTCCTGGGGTCAAGCCCCACATGGGGTTCCCTGCTCATCGAGGAGTCTGCTTCTCCCCCCTCTGACTCTCCCCCCCCACCCCCACCACTCGTGCTCTCTCTCTTTCTTTAAAAAAAGGATGTATGGGGATGCCTGGGTAGTTCAGTGGTTGAGCATCTTCCTTCAACTCAGGGTGTGATCCCGGGTCTGAGGATCGAGTCCCACATCGGGCTCCCTGCATGGAGCCTGCCTCTTCCTCTGTCTATGTCTCTGCCTCTCTCTGTGTCTCTCATGAATAAATAAATAAAATATTTTTAAAAATAGGGATCCCTGGGTGGCGCAGTGGTTTGGCGCCTGCCTTTGGCCCAGGGCGCGATCCTGGAGACCCGGGATCGAGTCCCACGTCGGGCTCCCGGTGCATGGAGCCTGCTTCTCCCTCTGCCTGTGTCTCTGCCCCCCCCCCCGTGACTATCATAAATAAATAAATTAAAAAAAAATAAAAATTAAATAAAAATTTAAAAAGATGCTTTTATTTATTTATTTATTTGAGAGAGAGAACAGGAGTGAGCAGGGCAGAAGGAGGGAAAATCTCAAGCAGATGCCACACTGAGTGCAGAACTCAACAAAGGGCTTGATCTCATGACCTGAGCCTAAAGCAAGAGCTGGATGTTCAATGGACTGTGCCATCTAGGTGCTCCCAGACTGATCCTTTTACAACATGTTTGATCATGTCCCTCCTGAACTGAAAACTCTCTGGTGACTCCCATTCCACCTAAAAGAAAAATCAAAGTCTTTACAATGGCTGGCAAGGCCTAACAGAATCTGCTCTGCCCTTACTGCTGTTTCCTCTCTGATGTCACCTGCTAATCTTCCTTTGCTCTGTAATAGCCAGTACTATCATTCTTTGCTCTAATAAAATTCTTCAAAGCTGCTCAGCACACTCCTGCCTCAGGGCCTTTGCACTCACTATTCCTACTGCCTGGAATGTTCTTCTTCCAGGTATTTCCAAGCATGCTTCTTCACCTCCTTCAGGACTCTTCCTAAAACACTTCCTAGAGAGGCCTTCCTGTGTAAAAAGCAACCTCCACCTCCCCTGGGTATTCCCTGACCTCCTCACCCTGCTTCAAGTTTCCCATAGCACTGGTCACCAACCTCTTTTTAATTTTTTGTATATTTTCTATCCCCCCTCCACCTCACCCCAATTTGAATGTAATCTCCATGAGGCTAAGGACTCAGAGACTTTATCTTTAATTCATTTATCTATTTTTAAGTTGGCTCCATGCCCAGCATGGAGCCCAACATGGAGCCCAACATGGAGCTTGAACTCAGAACCCTGAGATCAAGACCTGAGCTGAGATCAAGAGTTAGACACTTCACCCGACTGAGCACCCAGGCACCCCTTATTGGTTTTTTCACTACAGAACCTAGAACAGTGCTTGGCAAGTAGTAAGTGTTCAATAAATATTTGCTGGATGAAACCCACTAATAAATAAGACTGAAGAAGTGTGTAGGGATCAGGCTGTGGTTACTTTGAAGCCGCTGCTCTGGGAGTCAGGTGGTAGGTGTGATGGCAGTTCTTGGCTGTGAGGGCACTGGAGGCCGGCAGCAGGACACCTCGGCCAAGAATTCACTCAGTGCTTTGCCCTCTAAGGCTGTTCCTGGTTGACAACTGTAGGTGGGGGGGCCTATCCTCTGAAATTTGTCTTGAGGAGTCCCAGGTAAAATCTCGAGGACCGCAGAGCGATTAGAAAAATAGAATCTCTGCAAGCTTGGTCCTGGGTTCTGCGCAGAGGGCAGTTTGTCCCCTTCTGGTCCCTAAGACCCTGGCCATCCCCAGCACAGAGTGACCTGCGTCACTTCTGAGTGCTGGTCAGCAGCTCAGCTGCAGACAAGTCCAAGTCCGCTTCTGGAGACGCCGGCGGTCTAGCCAGGGGGATGGTTGGAATCCTTGGGGCACTGGGAAGGAGCCGAGGGTGGCCTGGGGGACGCGCCTGCTGTGGTCTGAGCTTTCCATCCGGGAAGAGTCAGCCCCGGCGCCTGGCCCATGGCCCAGCCCCCCATAGCCGGGGTTGGGGACTAGGCCAGGCTCATTCCTCCGGAGGAGCTCGCTCCCCTCGTTTGCCTCCGCAGAGTGCTGGATGCTCCCGGGAAGCGGGAAGCAAGCTCCCGGGAGCCCGTGGGAGGGAAGCCCCCCCGCCCCCCACCCCGCCCCCCGCTGGGCCGCCGGAGCCGGGCCCTGCCCGCGGGCAGACGCGGGAGCTGCCGCTCGGGACTGAAGAGGTTAACGTGCATCTGCTTCCGAATGTTAATGTGTCTAGGTGATGTCAGTGGGAGCCGGGGAAGGAGGGGGTGAGTGGGGAGCGGCGCGGGGCTCGGAGGCGGCCGAAGCTGCCAGACCGCCGAGGACCCCCTGGCGGCCGCGGGGCTCGGGGCGCGCGCTCCGGGACGGGGACGGGGGGCGCTGCCGCAGCCTGCGTGGGCGCTCGGCGAGCGGGCACCGGCCGCGGCAGGATGGACCTGCAAGCCTCGCTGCTGCCCCCCGGCCCCAACGCCAGCAACACCTCGGAGGGCCCGGACAACCTCACCTCGGCCGGTGAGTCGCGCCGGAGGCGAGTCCTCCCTCCTCTGCGCCGGGGGTGGGAAACGCGAAGGTGTCACCTCGGAGCCAAAGTGCTCCGGAAACTTTATTCCAGTTCTCGGGGACGGGATCTGCAGTGTGCTGTGCCCGGAGGGGAAGAAGGGGAGCAGGGGGCGGGGCAGGCAGGGGCCGAGGGACTGGAGCGGAGAGCAGGGCAAAGGCACGTTGGCAAGTGGCCTCGGATGGATGGATGGTGGCCCGCCGGGCGGGGAGACTGGGGAGGACTCACCCATGAGTTCCATATGCTTTGCAGAAAAAAAATCAGGCTGGAGAAGCAAGCAAGAGAAGCCAGAGGGTAGTCCGTGAGGAGACAGCTGGAAGCTCACTCAGTTACTGATCCCCTTGTCTTTTTACTGAAACTGCAGTAATGGGATCTGAAACATCCTTACTGACCCCTGGGAAGGCCCGGGGGAAGGGCTAACTCACGGGGGGGGGGGGGGGTATTAACTTTCCTGGTGAATGAAGCCCCCTAACATTTCCAGAACTGAGATGCCTTGAAATTCTAGCTCTGAAGGAAAGGAAGGAAAAAGAGGAAAGGCTTGTGTGCAGGGAAATTCTCAGGCAGCTAGGCTGCAACACACGGCTTCTTCGGTCTCTGCTCACTTGGGAAGCCCAGGCTCAGAGATACAGACCAAGGAATTCCCTGATAGGAACCCAGGAGAAGGGAGGGCTGCGGGCCTGATGGGCAAATGCCCCCCCCCCCCACACACACACAAGACGGTAGCCCACAGACATGCCCAGGAATCAGTGCACAGCTTCCAACCAGCGATTTCCAAAATGAGATGATCAGAGCTGCAAATAAGAAAAGAGAAAACACATGCATGAGCCCATGCATGCGCTTGCTCACCCGCATGCCGGCGCACGCGCCTGTGTGTGCGTGCACACACACTTTCGTATCCTTCTGGCTATGTTGATGAGGTTTCCTGATGAAGCCCAGAGGTCCACAAAATAATTCTCTGCAGATAGCTGTGGTTCTTGATTCTGAGCCTTCTGAGATAATGCAGGGAGTAAAGGACAGGGTCCTTCAACTAACAGGTGGTGCAGGAGAATCTGGTGGGATTAGCCAGGGAACTGGGGGAGGAGGGCAAGGGGACAGGAGTAGCAACAGTGCAGTGAGGGAGAGTGGTAGGAAAGGATTCCAGATGAATGGGGAGCCCTGGGCTGAAATGAAAAGAAGATAAAGAGGTAGGCAAACACATCATCACTGGAAGCTGAGCACGCTGGTAGGATGTTAGCCCTTAGAGAGCAGTCCATGTCAGTGGTCAACATCTGCTCCTTTTGTCCCCAGGGCCACCTCGTCGCACAGGGAATGTCTCCTACATCAACATCATCATGCCTTCTGTGTTCGGCACCATCTGCCTCCTGGGTATCATCGGGAACTCCACAGTCATCTTCGCGGTGGTGAAGAAGTCCAAACTGCACTGGTGCAGCAATGTCCCCGACATCTTTATCATCAATCTCTCGGTGGTGGACCTCCTCTTTCTCCTGGGCATGCCCTTCATGATCCACCAGCTCATGGGCAATGGTGTCTGGCACTTTGGAGAGACCATGTGCACACTCATCACGGCCATGGATGCCAACAGTCAATTCACCAGCACCTACATCCTGACTGCCATGGCCATTGACCGCTACCTGGCCACTGTCCACCCCATCTCCTCCACCAAGTTCCGGAAGCCCTCTGTGGCCACCCTGGTGATCTGCCTCCTATGGGCCCTCTCATTCATCAGCATCACCCCCGTGTGGCTCTACGCTAGGCTTATCCCCTTCCCAGGGGGCACAGTGGGCTGTGGCATCCGCCTGCCCAACCCAGACACTGACCTTTACTGGTTCACCCTGTACCAGTTCTTCCTGGCCTTTGCCCTGCCCTTCGTGGTCATCACAGCCGCGTATGTGAGGATCCTGCAGCGCATGATGTCCTCGGTAGCCCCCGCCTCTCAACGCAGCATCCGGCTGCGGACAAAGAGGGTGACTCGCACGGCCATTGCCATCTGCCTGGTCTTCTTCGTGTGCTGGGCTCCCTACTATGTGCTACAGTTGACCCAGTTGTCCATCAGCCGCCCGACACTCACCTTTGTCTACCTGTACAACGCAGCCATCAGCTTGGGCTATGCCAACAGCTGCCTCAACCCCTTTGTGTACATCGTGCTCTGTGAGACATTCCGCAAGCGCTTGGTCCTGTCGGTGAAGCCTGCCGCCCAGGGGCAGCTTCGAGCCGTCAGCAATGCCCAGACGGCCGATGAGGAGAGGACAGAAAGCAAGGGCACCTGACACTTCCCCTGCCACCCTGGGCACCTCCGAGTTAGGACAGCACAGCAGACCATGGGGAGAGATGCTGAGAAAAACCCAAGACCCCTCTGGGAGAATGCAGAGGGGCCAGGTGGTGAGGGGTTGTTACAAATCAGAACATACCACGGTGTCCACAAATTGCTGGGGAGGTTGGGAGCCAGATTTGGGGGCTTCAAGCATCAGAAATCCCCTTGGGAGAACAGGAAGAGACCTTTGCGTTGAATAGAAACTGGACAAGAAGAAAATTTTGGTTTAAATGTTCAGTGGAGCCCTGCATCTATTAGCTCCCAAAAGTCTTTTCCTCGATTGCTGGTTGATTTGAAATCTGGGCAGGCCGGGGTGTGAGTGATGGGGTCCTACTACAGGGCCCTGGGGAGATGGGAAATTGGTGTGGCCTCAACCCTCTTTCCCATCTTTCACTGGTAGGATGGAGGGCGCCCTTTCTCCCAAGCTGGAGGATGATGAAAAATGAAGCATGCCATCTCTCCATGTGCCAGCATCCTGTCAATTTGCCTGTATCTCTAGGGGATGCATGCTTATTTTGGGGGTGGGGTGGGGTGGGGCTCTGAGCCCAGAGGAGTAAAAATCCAATTTGTAGGAGATTCACTGATTGCGAATGACAAGGCTACCTGGGTGGGTATGAGTAGAAGTCTTAAACTTAAGAAAAAACAGGGAGGGGCTAGGGGGCTTTTGCAGCTGTGGGGACATTGTCGTCATGAGGCACATTTGTGAATCACCAGATCCAGAGTGAGTGCCCATCAGTGTCCTGCATGTACAAGGGTCATTCTGATGCCTGGTGTGTTGGCATCATTTTTTGCTCCAGCCTTTCCTTTCCAAAATAAAAATGAATAAAGGAAAATCTCCACCCACATCTCTTTGGATGCTCCTGTATAATTGCTTGGGCTTGGGGGTGGGAGTGGGTGGCAGAAAAGGGAAAGAAGGGTCCCTTGGCTGTGGAATCTAGACTTTGGTCAAATTGCATTTTAGGAAGCCAGAAGCAGGGGATCTAAACCCACAGCGGGGATTCAGCAACACAAACGGGATTACTGTGGATTCATTAGATTGCACTGCTGCTGCTGGGCTGGTTCTCAGCACTCAGCTTCCCGTCTTCTGCTCTAAAGCACTTGGGTGTCATCAGTACTGGCCCCCAGGCCCCCAGTCCTGCCCGCCACCTCCCCCGCTGAGTCACCCGTCGCAGGGCTGGCCTCTAGGGCAGCCTGAGCCTGCCTCCTGCCGCTGCCAAGATCTGGTGTTGAGCTGGAAGGTTACAGATGGGCCGCTGGGCGGCAGCCAAGGCTTCTGCTTCTCAGCTTCTTCGTGAGAGGAGCTGGGAACCAGGAGTCCGGGGCAGACTGCTCAGCAGATGCTGAGACAGTGGCAACATATCACGAGCTCACAACTTGTTCAGATGCATCCGTAAAGCAGGTGCACCAGCCCAGCCTTTTCCTTGCGGGTTATTTTCACTGTGGGGTTGCAGCAAGTAGCCGGCTTAGCAAACTTCAGGTCCTGGCCAGCTCTTTTTTTCTTTTTTTTTTTTTTTCAATTTAAGATTTTATTTATTTGAGAGAGAAAGAGAGAGAGTTGGGAGGGGCAGAGCAACAAGGAGAAAGAGCCTTAAGCAGACTCTGCACTGAGCGTGGAGCCCAATGCGGGGCTCAACCCCATGACCCCAAGATTATGACCTGAGCTGAAATAGAGTCAGCAGCCCAACAGACTGCGCCACCCAGGGGCCCCTGGGCAGCTCTTTTTATCATCATCATTAGCTGTGGTATTTTCGGGCTTGTGTTCCCCTCCACCTCAGTAGTGGGGAGAGCCAAGAAGTGGACGATTAGTTTTCCTTACTCACTAACAGTGGGGTCTCTAGCTGCCACAGGTAAGCTTCCAATCTGCTTCAGATGCCCATCCAAAAGCAACAGTAAAAAGATTCTTGGGGGAGCCTTGAGGCAACTCCTGCTCACCTGGTTCCTGAAAAGGAGGTTTCCCTGCATCTGGTTTGCCCTTGAAAGGCTTCCTGGGAGTCTATCCAGCCCCCTTCCCCTCCAAGGAGGATGAAATAGGCCAGGGGGCCTCTCCCAGGACATGCAGGTAACGGAATCCACAACTCACTGGGGTGGGAGGGGTAAGGAGGACCCAGCAACCCCTAGGGAGGGGGACACCCCTTCCTTCTGCTCTGAACCCATACGGAAAACTGACACGGAAGCAAAGTAGGTTGAGACAGAAAGTGAGTGGGTTGAAATGTAAACAGAAGGGAGAGGGGAATGGGGGAGAGTTGGAGAAGTCAGGAGGAACTTGGGGATGCAGAGGGAAGGAGGGCAGGGAGATTACAATGGGGATAGGGGAACTGTGCCAACACAGCCTTCCCCACTAGACCCTGCAGATGTCATTGGATAAGAAAAGGTATAAATGGGGTACCTGGATGGCTCCATTAGTGAAGCACCTGCCTTGGGCTCAGGTCATGATCCTGGGACCCTGGGATGGAGTCCCTCATCACATCCAGCTTCCTGCTCAGCAGGGAGCCTGCTTCTGCTTCTCCCTCTGTCACTCCCCTGCTTGTGCTCTCTCTCTCCCTGTCAAATAAACAAATAAAATCTTAAAAAAAAAAAAGAATAAGTATAAGCATGTGCAGAGGGACGGGTGGTTTGCTGGCACAACCATCGTCATGACATCGTAGGTGGCAATGAGTGGGCTGAGGGTGGGGGTGGTGGCTGGTCTGAAGAATGAGTAGATTTTCCTTTCGTCTCCATTCAGCCTGGGACTATGAATAGCCCCAACTTCAGGAAAGTGTGGGGGCCACTGAGAGGTCCTGAGAGAGTCCAAGAAATGGGTGAAGAGCAGGAAATTGATTTCTTTGCTCCTTTTCCCGTTTCCATACCTAATAAACACTGTCTCTCTCATTGGGCCCGATAGCCTCAACTCCCCAAACCCGATTAGTGCTTTCCACACTGCTCCCTCATCTACTCCCCAGAAAACATTTTCTCTCTAGCTGTGAAGATTAAGTCTCTAAAATTCCCTATGATGTCAGGATTCCAGAACTGACTGAGGACGTCACAGGTTAGTCAAACCAAAGTTGTAAGTGACTGTAGGGAAACTCTTCTGCATATTGAAAGAAATACCTAAATACTAAAGAAATACCAGTAAGAACACTAAATAAAGGGACTAGCCATGATATCTTTATTTCCTGCATTATCAGTTTTTTTTTGTTTTTTGTTTTTTTTAAGGAGGCTCCACTTCCAGCATGGAGCCCAACGTAGAGTTTGAACTCAGGACACTGAGATTAAGAGTTGGACACTTAACTGGCTGAACCACCCAGGTGCCCCATCAGCTTTTTCAAAAGATTTTATTTATGTATTTGAGAGAGACAGAAAAAGTGACAGAGAGCATGAGCAGGGAGGAGAGGGAGAAAGCAGGTTCCCCGCTGAGCAAGGAGTCTGATGTGGGGCTCTATCCCAGGACCCAGGTATCATGACCTGAGCCAAAGGCAGATACTTAACCAACTGAGCCACCCAGGCATCAGTTTTCACTTTGTTTTTTATTGTGGTAAAATATACATAACAACTGAATTATACACTTAGAAATAGTTGAGATGGCAATATTATCTGTATTTTACCACAACGAAAGATGTACAGATATAACCATTTTAACCATTTTTAATGTACAATTTGTTAGGTTTTTTTAGTAACTAAATGGAAATGAGACCGCCAAGGCAAGCGAGAGTCCAAGAACAGATTTTATTGCAGGCACCCTCGGGCGAGGTTCCACGACTCACGGGGGAAAGAGAGTGAGTCGGGGAAGTCGCGCCAAGACAAGGTGGTAGGGGGTTTACATAACGTTGTAAGGCAGACCGGTTTCCTATTGGTTGGCTCATATGCAAAGGAAGGATTGCAATCCAACCAGTCAGAGTGACCCTCACTATGCAAAGGAAGGATTGCAATTCGACCAGTCAAAGGTGACTTCCTCCTCTGGGGTTTGAAGGGCATTGGGTTCGGTTGGGGAAGTCCAAAAGAGAGGTGTAAGGGTCTGCGTCAAGCTGTCAGCAGGTCATTGGTCCATTGGCGTCCCAAGTGGAGGTGGTGACAGGAACCTCAGCCATTTTGGGGTATCCGCCATCTTGAGGAGTTTCCCTTCCCGCCTGGCCCCAACACAATTCAGTGGCATTAAGTAATTCACATCATTGTGCAACTATCACCACTCCCATCCCCAGAAGTTCCTGGTCTTCCTACACTAAAACTCCATGCCCATTAAACCAACTCCCCATTCTCCTTCCCCACAGCTCCTGGCAACCACCATTCTGCCTTTTGTTTATGACTTCAACTACTCTACATCATATAAGTGGAATCATACAGCATTTGTCCTTTTGGGTCTAGCTCATTTCAATTATTATAATGTTGGGGATCCCTGGGTGGCTCAGCGGTTTAGCGCCTGCCTTTGGCCCAGGGCGTGATCCTGGAGTCCTGGGATCGAGTCCCACGTCGGGCTGCCGGCATGGAACCTGCTTCTCCCTCTGCCTGTGTCTCTGCCTCTCTCTATGTCTATCATGAATAAATAAATAAAATCTTTAAAAAAATATTATAATGCCTTCAAGGTTCTCCATGTAATAGCATGTGTCAAAATATCATTCCTTTTCAAAGTTGAGTAATATTCCATTGTACATATATACCACCTGTTGTTTATCCCATTCACCTGTCAGTGGACATTTAGGCTGGTTCTACCTTTTGGCTATTGTGCATAACAACGCTGCTATGAATATGGGTGTACAAATAGCTGTTTGAAGTCCTGCTTTCAGTTCTTTTGTGTTTATAGCCTAAAGTGAAATTGCTGAATCATATGGTAATTCTATGTTTAACTTTTTTTTTAAGTTTGCAATTTTTTTTTGAGGTTTTATTTATTTATTCATGAGAGACAGAGAGAGAAAGAGAGAAAGGCAGAGACACAGGCAGAGGGAGAAGCAGGCTCCATGCAGGGAGCCTGATGTGGGACTCGATCCCAGGTCTTCAGGATCAGGCCCTGGGCTGAAGGGGACGCTAAAATGCTGGGCCACCCGGGCTGCCCTAGGTTTAACTTTTTGAGGAACTGCCATACTGTTTTCCACAGCGGCTGTATCATTTTACCTTCCCTCCTGCAGTGCACAGGGGTTCTCCAATTTCTCCACGTTTCCCAACAATAGTTCTTTCCTTCCTTCCTTCCTTCCTCCCTCTTTCTTTCTTTCTCTCAATAATAGCCATCCTAATGAGTGTAAAGTGGTCTTATTGTGATTTTGATTTGCATTTCCCTAATGATAAGGGATGTTGAACATCTTTTCATGTGCTTATTGGCCACTTGTATGTCTTCTTTGGAGTAACGTCTGTTCAAACCTTTTACCCATTTTAAAAATTGGGTTCTTTTTTATTGTTAGCAATAATATTTACTCAAATTAATACTAATTGATTATGCCGATTACTAAGAAAAATACATTTTTTTTAAAGCTAGGCTTTTTCTCCCTGCTATTCAACAAGATACTTGTCTTTTTCT